TACGATTTGATTTGATTAAATAATAAACGACTATAAACCATACCAATTTCTGAAAGAGGCTTACTATTCGATACAGAACCAGCTTACGAAAAAATTGTAACAGGATATTCACTTTATCATCACAAACAACAATTTTTATGTGATCATGGTGGCGTTTTACCAGAATTTTCTATAGCATATGAAACCTGGGGTGAATTGAACGAAAATAAGGATAACGCGATTTTAATCCAAACTGGTTTATCTGGAAGTAGTCATGCTAAAAGCCATGAAAAAAATGTTAATCCAGGGTGGTGGGAGCGATTCATCGGTGAATATTGATTTTTTGTGTTTATGATATGTATTCATTTTTTGATCAATTGAAATCTCTCTTTTAGGTCCTGGTCTTTCTATTGATACGAACAAATTTTATGTTATTTGTACTAATGTGATTGGAGGTTGTTATGGATCAACTGGTCCCTCCTCAATTGATCCATCTGATGACGAACGATACGCGACTAGATTTCCTATTTTGACTATATTTGATATGGTGCGGGCGCAGTTTTTATTATTGGATCATTTAGGAATAAATAAGCTGCATGCTTGTGTAGGAAGCAGTATGGGTGGAATGCAGGTATTTATTAATACTATTGTAAATTAATACAACCAATGCAATAAATTCATATTATATTTTTTTTCTATTAGTCATTGGCATCTGCATGGTTATATCCTGAACGCATTTCTCGCTTAATTAGCATATCAGCATGTGCAAGATCACATCCATATTCTATTGCAATTAGACACACACAACGGCAGGGTATACTTTACTTCAAACATGAATCAATTTCTTTTTATATGTTTCAATATATTTATCTTGTTGCATTATACATACAGTATTGATGTCTGATCCTAATTGGAACAAAGGATTTTATTATAAATCTATACCTCCACATATAGGAATGAAGGTAAAAAAAAAAAAAAAAATCGAATTTTGGTCTTGTTTAGTTTTAATATAAGTGCGTCTCTAATTTTTTTTTTAAACTCAGTTGGCCCGTGAAATCGCCACGATTAGGTAATATAAATTTACAGCATATGCATAAATTTAGTTATAACATTTGATTCATTACTTAATATTATAGCTACCGATCAGGGCCTGAATGGGAACAGCGGTTTGGCAGAAAACGCGAACGAGAGGATCAATCGCCTGCTCTTTGTCCTGACTTTTTAATAGAAACTTATCTTGATTATCAGGTATTTTATTAATATTTCGGAAGAAAAAAAAAAGAATAAATGTTTTGATTTTTATGAATCCATTTATTGGCTATTATGTAGGGTGAACGTTTTTGCCTGCAATATGATCCGAATTCGCTTCTTTATATATCAAAGGCAATGGACCTTTTTGACATGTCCTCCTCATCATTGGAGAAACTCATTAAACAGCGAGAGGTTAATATTGAGAGACTGCAAACTTATGGATTTATTCCTGAATCACAGACTGATCCATCATGCTATGCTAATGCATCACAACAAACACCTGCCTCAAAATCTACATCATCGTCATCTTCAAAAAAACAACATATTTCGTCTTTATCATTAACAAGTGGCGAAAATATTGACGACCTTGTTAAAGGACTCTCTAAAATTCAAATACCAACGTTAGTTTTAGGTGTCCAATCTGATATATTGTTTGCTTATTGGCAACAAAGAGAAATTGCTGATTGTTTAAGAAAGGGCGGAAACAAATATGTCACTTATTATGAACTGGATTCTATGTATGGGCATGATACATTTTTGATAGATTTGACTAATGTTGGTGGCGCGATTAAAGGACATTTGGAACTTGGTGGTTAAGATTAAAGTTTTTTGTTAACTGTCATATTGAAACATAAATCACATTTATCTTCTTTATTATAATGGTTATATATTCATTAGAATAAGTTAAATCCTTTTTTCTTTTTTTTCAGCTATTAATTAATATATTTTATTTGTGTTTGTTACTGTAACAAAAATATAATAAATTTATTACACAATTTTTGCAGATTTCTGATAATAAATGAATGCCCTATGTTCATTCTTTCTTATTTTTATAACAATATCCAACACTACATGTTCCACCAGCATTCCCCATCTCTGCAGACTTTTAATAATAAATGAATGACATACTGTATGTTCGTCCTTTCACACTCCAATTCCATTTCGATAATCTATTATCCAAGATTATAAGGACGACCCGAATTATCAAAATTCATTTTACTTTCAAAATACAAGAAAAAGCAAAAGCCCGAATTATTTAAATAAAATATGCTCTTACAGAGTTTCCACTATCGAGTAGCACACTAATTAAGATATTCAAATTTTTTTTTTTTTTAAGGACAAAAAATATAAATATTGATAAATTTTACTCAAAATTGTTTGAAAAAAAATTTTATGTGCTTCAAATATCATTAATTTTTATGAATTTAAAATTATATATAAAAGTCATACTGTAATCGATTACTGGTAAATTTCTATCATAAGAGCTAATTTTATCACCTTAATTTTCTGATTTGGAATTTTAAAAAAATATATAGGGGCTTTTAAACTCCTACTTATTTTAAAAACAGTTAATTCTGAAACCCCCGAATTAAAAAGATTACATTTTATTTTAAATCACGCTCCATAAATATGATCGATGCACCTTGATAATAGTAGACCCAGGTCTGATACTTGGGTTTGTTTTAAAGTAAAAAGAAACACGGATCTATAGCATGATTTATATTGTATATGCGAAATAACGTGCAGGGCGTTATTTAGAATTTTGGCCCGAATTAAGCTTAATTCGGGCCAATTTTCGAAATTGCACCCTTATTTCGCGAAAATACGGTATTAACATATACTGTATGATGTTTTTAGGTTTTACATATATTTTCGTGTACAAAACCCCTCTTAGCAATAGACCATTCTTTCTTACAAGACCTTAAGGGTTTAAATCGTTTTTTGATGAGTTTAAACTAAGAGACCCCGGGTGGTTTATGCAATGAAATATAATACTTGTAATAAAAAACTAAAATTTATACAGTATTGTTTTAAAATTTATATTTTTATAAATAGTTTAGACTATACATATTTTTAGATAATCACATTATACATGTGATTATATATATGGAGAAAGATTTATCGTTATTTAATTTTACAGTATTTAATCCCACCTCTCTATAATCACTAATAAAAAGTATATATATACTGTATATACTGTATATACTGTATATATATAATTATATAGGATAACTGTATATGTGCTCACATTTAAAACTGCCCAGATACTGCAATAATTTATTAAAATTTAACCAAACACTGTCAATTAGTATTTAAATATCTAAAGCACAACATAAATATATCTAGTTAAACCAATATACTATACATTAATCTTTTTAAGAGTATTTTATACAATACAGTAATATATGTGCTCCAGCATATATATATATTGTATATGTTTAAAATTAGTTTAGCAATAAGCCAAAAAAAAAAAAAAAAAAACTTTTTATTACAAAATATATTTAACAAAAAAAAAATATATTTCAAGATAAAAAAGCATATTTTTTTATATTACAAAGTTGTTTTTTGTTCGTTTTTTTTTTTTTTGTTTTTCTTTTTTTATCTTTTTTTTATCTTTTTTTTTTTTATGTAAACTAAATTTTTCAAAGTCTATATTTTTTGGCCCTGAAAAAACCCCCAAAGTCACTAATATGTGTATAATTTTTTTTTTTTTTAAAACCCCAATCCGATAACAATTGATACTGTATTAATATAAAACTTCATAATTGTGCACCAAATGTTAAAGACAAATAATCACTTAACGAAGATATATACACTACTGTTTTCCGGATGACAATACACCCCTAGTAACATCGCCTAAAACTGAAACACCCTTATAAAGAAATCCATCAAATTCATCATCCTCAGCCTGAATTGTTGGCTGGTTTCCAATGTGCAGTTGTTCAATATCACAGGTATTTGCTTGTTCGAAATCGCCTAACGTTGTTGGTGATCCTATAAGTGTTGAACGTCTTGATTGATTAAAAGAAGGAGAAACTAAAGCCGATGCTGACAATGGGGTCATTGTCGAAGTTGTAGGAGTACCAGATACTGAAGATGATTGAGAACCATAATCATTAATACTGCTTATGGACAGTTTTCTTGATTTTCCAGCTGTAATCTTTAGGAGCGACGGCCTACGTTTTTTCACAGGTATCTGCATTTCTTCTACCTGCGGTGGTTTAAGAGATGCTGAACTTAAGGAAGAATGTCGTGAATCTCGATAAGAATTGTTTGTTAAATCAAAGTTGCAATTTTCAGCAGGTTCATCTGTAACGGTTTGTAATATAACATTGCTACTAGGTGCTTGTGAAGCAAGATCAATATCATCGAAAACAGCTGATCTACGATCTACATAGGTAGCAACTTTTCCAGAAGCGATATCTTCAAGATTACCGGAAGAAAGACGGCGGATATCTGCACGACTATTGCGAGCTTCAAAATAACTCGTATCCTGTTCATCTTCAGGGTTTGGTACGAAAGGAGCAGGTTGTTGGCGAATATGTTCCCAATCAATTCCATTAAAAAAAGGATGAGTTTTGATCTCTTCAACTGTAGGTCGTTTTTCAGGATATTGATTTAATAACTTTGAAATTAGATCCGTTGCTTCTGAAGATAAAAATCCTTCCGGTGGCCATTGAATAACATGGTTCAAAATATTTCTGAAAATCTCTTGTGGTGTGCCATCATTGAAAGGCGGATAACCAACTAAAAATTCGAAAAGACATACACCAAGAGACCACCAGTCTACTGCTGTTGAATGTCCAATACCCAAAAGTAACTCTGGAGCAAGGTAATCTGGTGTACCTAATAGAGCTTTAGAACTTTGACGATTTGTTTTTTTTGATTGCTTTACTGATGACTGTGGTTCAAACCCAATATTGATATAACCAGAAAGTTTTGGGTTTTCATTAGAGAAAATTGCAGAGACCGGACGAGGATGACCAGCGTTGGCGCGTGAATCAACACTACCAGTTCTTAAAGTCCTTTGATAAGGTTTCTTATCAGCTCCATTATTTGTTTCTCGTTCTTCTTTTATGAACGCCAAGCTACTTTTCTCTGGAATTGAAATCCTGGACAAACCAAAATCAGTAAGTTTTATATGCCCTTCGGAGGTAATAAGCATATTATCAGGTTTTAGGTCCCTATGAGTTATGCCATTGCTGTGAAGATATTCGAGCGCCAATACAACTTCCGCTGTATACATACGCGCCATGTCCTCTTCAAAACGTTCAAAACATTGAAGAAGGGATGATAAATCACCCCCGATTAAATACTCCATTACCTGGAAAAACATTTATTTTCAGAATATATTTGGTCTATATAACAGAGTTCAATAATTGATTTTATAGGTAACACTTACTAAATATAGATAATCCTGGCTTTGAAACGCATAAAATAATTTAACAACGAATGGAGTTCTTGATAGACTAAGAACTCTTCGTTCCGCGAGTACATGATTTACCATATTCTTGCGCACCATATCTACCTTCTTCAAGATCTTTATGGCATAAAGATCACCGGTTGTCTTTTTCCTCGCAAGATAAACTTTGCCAAAGGCACCTCGACTAATAGGTTTAATAATTTCAAAATCCTGTATGCTTGGAACTTTGGTCTTAGCAGTCTATTATGAATAAGTAATTAATATATTCTCAATTCTAGTCTATTATTGTAAAAAATTCATACCAAAACATATAGTATCTTAATTGTAAATATTTACCACTTTATCTCCATTAGCAATTGTAGTGTTGGGAGAGTTGGCAGTTTCCTTACTCGATATGCTGCTAGAACGACTATTACCTCCACGTAAGACAGCAGTAAATAATGAAATAAATCTCCTTCGCGGTGGAGCGTTATCTGAGTCTATAGATGAATATGCGTAAAAGTACATGCGTACACAAATTGTTAAAAAAGTTACATTTGTATTATTGAAATATTAATTCAAGCCATTGAAGATGTAAGGTTGGATTAATACGATTTGATTTGATTAAATAATAAACGACTATAAACCATACCAATTTCTGAAAGAGGCTTACTATTCGATACAGATCCAGTGCTATCTTGTCGTTTATGAGAAGGTACATTATCCTTCTGACGATAAGAACTTGACTTTGACAAAAAGTTCGTTGATGCTTTATTTGATGCAGAAGTCGACAATACTCGACTTGATATTGACTGTTTTCTGCCTATTTTATGGGGTATTTGTAATGCTGCAGTTTCAATTGCAGATGTTGAAGCAATAGTGGCCACTGCTGCGGCAACAGTAGCAGCTGCTAAACCGGTATTTGGGATTGTATTAGTTGATGATGATTTCAATCTCTGAAAATATGCACGTAGTGTCTCATGCTTTTCTTCAACCTAAAGAATTAATGGTTAATTAGTAAAATCTACAGTGATATAACGACAATAATATAACATACCACATGAAGCAATCTTTTTCCATAAGTTAGTATATCCTCATCTCTGATTGTATTCTTTTCCATGTCATCGACTAAACGGCCCAATTTTGTTGCATATTTTTCTATTTTTCTAAGAGCTTCTCGATGATTTAATGATTCTTTGATTTCAACAGCCCTAATTAAATTATTTTATAAATGAATAATGGATAGTTGCAACGTACTAAAAATAATATACATCTATATATTACTTTAATCCAATTTCTTCCATCACTTCCGAATCTTTTATAGTATAATAATCTTGATAGGGTGTATTTCTCTCCTAAAAATAAATATATAAAAAATAGATTAAAACTTACGTTAAAATGGTCCATATGCAAA